TTGCAACAAGTTCGCAAACTTAATTGTCAGACCTGTATACACATGGGGGTTCTATAAGAATATAAGACCCCAAGACTTATATTACATTGGACAGTGAAGGCTTTGATGCCATCTTGCGTTAAGGAGGAGGGTTGTTGTCTGGGACTTCAAAAGGGGGAAAGGCAATTCATATGGAGATGGAAAAGCAAATGTTTGGTAAATAAATGTTTGCTGGGCCATCTTTAACAATGGGACACAGAGACGACTTTGGGTTCCTCCTTGTTTGTCACACAATATTTCATATTAAACTATAGTTACCTGTGATAATAGGCTCCCTCCCTGAAGCAGGTCCTCTATCTAAATTCTTTTAGGCAATTAGAGCACAGGTCAAGGCTTTTACCTGAGTCTTTTGTTTCTTGAAAATCACAAGCTTAAAGTAATCAATATCCCAGAAAGGATATTTTGGCATGGCAAACTCTGCTTCCCCTCACAGGAAGAGCGAGAAGAGTAAAATAAAGTGCCCAATGCAATGTTGACTTGTCCCCAAATATGGCAGAACTTAGCATGAATTGAGGGGCAGAGAGGAGGATTCCAATTACAGATGATCTGGAGGAGGCAGGATTATGGGAGAAACATACCCAGTAAACAATGATGTAAGAAGGTAGATAGCGCTTTGAACTGGGAGTTGGGAAGTTGTCTCTGGCCTCAGATGATCCTTTGGTGAGTCACTCNTATATATCTATTACAATTCCATTGACTCTATTCCCTATGCTGTCCTCCATATCCCATGACTATATAAATATTAAATTATAGTTGACATCCAACATTATTCAGCTTCAGGTGTAGATGCCTGACCATTGCACTGTATACCTGAACCTGAAGCCATAGTTCCTTTCTTAATTTTAAGCTTTCTAATTGCTGAGCATTTCACTGAGGGATTAGTCATTGGGCTTGAGTTGCCTAACGGAATCAGTCATTTTATGTACCACTAAATACAAGTCAAGACATTTCAAAGGCTGACATGGGCTAACTGACTTAGGTGTGTAATTTGAAAGCATTTCAGCTTGCCTACATCTGCAAAAGTAGAGGGTCAAGAATACTGACAAGGTTAACAAGCAAGAGAAGATCCTTGTTTCCTCAGTTACCTTGAAGTTTGCCTGAATTTATTATTCTAGCATCCTAAGGTTTAGTATTCTTATTTATTAGCCTGAGAAGTGCTGTGCCCTGAAATTGATTTCCCAGGAATACTTGGCCCTCCGGGAGATCATGTCACATTAGTTGCAACCTTGGCATTGCTTTTGTCTTTTTTTTTTTTTAACATGCTTCATTGTCCCGGCTTTTCTCACTAGTGGAAAAACACTAAAAATAAATTTAACCTGGAATTATTCTGAACACCGTGGGTACTTGCTACTACACACAGAACAGAAAGATTTAGACTGCTATTACAGCTTTTCACCCAGCCCACCCAGAGAATTCGAGTAAAAAACTGGAAAGCCCAGCCAACCTTCTAGCTGCATGATTCCAGATGATACTAGACATCATTCATGTAGGTAAACATCCCATTGACCAACTGAGTTTACCTTTGAACTGTTTTGTGTTGTTTTTGTTTTTTTGGTTGTTGTAATTGTTTTTAAAGAAATTTGTTTTCCTTAGCACTTCTAAACTCTAAGTGCCAACTTGCATTTCATTTTAAGAGAGAATTTTGTTGTTGGATTAAAGCAAAAGGCAAAATAGATAAGACACGTGAGAGTCCATTTCTCTGTGAATTGAGAAAATTCCTGATTTGCTTCCATCCACACCCTGGTGCTGGCTTTCACCCCCAGCAGGCTGTAGACACTGGGTGTGGGGTAATGACATTGCCAGCAAATGGTGTCCTTACTTTGGCAGGATTTACTGAGTTAGGACAGTGCTGGGTAATCCTAATTAAAGCCCAATTAAAGCTCAAACTTCACAACCAAACCAACCAGTTTTACAAGCCACAGGAATTTAATTTGGCCTTACGCTTGCAGCGGAAAAAGAAACACAAAAGAAGAAAAAAAGCTGGCAGCTCACCTAACAAGCAACTGCCGTCTGGACACACTGCCAGCTTGACTCCATTAAGGAGCATAAGGGGTCTAATGACAGCTATGAAGACAAAGGTTCAGATGAGACACAAGTTTCTTGACAACAGCTGGGCAAACGGCAAAGTTTCCAGCCCCGGTGAGTCCTTTCAATATTTAAGAAAACACAGCAGAAGACAAAGATAACCTGGCTTTATAAGCTTCCCTGCATATTTAGGGAATAAGAGCCAAGGTCTAGAACACAGCCAAAAATTAATCTCAGAACAAAATTCTGTTGAAGCCCAGGGGGCTGGATACAAGGAGACACATGAAATACAGCAAATCTGCTTATTAATATTTATCCTGGGAGATCAACCAAACCATGGCTTAGATCCACTTCACCTTCCCCCTTCCTCTCGCATGCGCCTCCCGAAGAAAACAAACCCAAGCAATGTAGTGAAAACCACTTGGGGATGTGCTTTCATTTACTCCATGCCAAGTGTCGGATTTTTAAACCAAATGTGAAAAAAGCCCCGTTGAGGCAACGCAAGTGCCAGATCCTGCCCTGAGTGAGAATCGCAGCGCCGTCCACTTACCTGTGATTAGCACTGCCTTTTGATCCACAGGTAACAATTCTTGACCAGATAAGTAAATATACACGAGGAAACATGACAGGGAGAAGAGGATCACGCCCCAGAAGAGAGACAGGCTGAGCAGACAAGCCCCTCCACAGAAGCCAGCCAGGCAGAACACCTTTTTCCCCACCTGCCCTGGGCTCATCTTGAATTTGCAAAGAACCAGTCCTCCCAGCGCTGCTGTGACAGCCAGGCAGAGCCACACTGTCTCAGAGAAAAAAGTGCTCATTCTCAGAAACTCCGCGGCAACTTTTCGTGCTCAGGGCAAGTGGGCAAAGGCTGGAGCAGCCCGGGTTATATGCACGGAGAGGCAAAAAGGGAGAGGGAGGGGAACAGCCTCAGCACACTTTGAATGAGCCTCATCCTCATTAATCATCCTCATACAAGCACATATTTCCTAGTGGGTAATTTCAACCAGCATGCAGGATGATATAAACACCAGAGCGCTGCCTATCTGATTGCTCACCCCCCCACCCCC